GAAGCCAATTTTCTTGTCCAAATTGTATGCCTCCATTATCTGATAATAATGAAGCCAGTCTCGCACTTTGTCTTTGTAATTTCTCAAAACTCTGCAATTTCAATTTGTCTCCTTCTTGTTCCAAAATTTCCCAATATTTCGGCCATTTGGCCTCCATATTGAGCTTTTTCTGAGCCTTTGCTTCCATCAGTGACAACCACCTTGGGGTTTTATTTTCAAGTAAGTCCTTATATCTTATCCAGACATTTAACAATGCTTTCCTAACAATATGGTTTTTAAATGCTTTATGTGCTTTAACACAACTTTCCATGCATCCATCCATCCATCCATCCATCCATCCATCCATCTATCCCTATTCCACATGTTCTAGTGCATTTTTCCATCACATTCCTTACTACAAAAGTCTGGGGTTGTTTGAAGTGGGGTTGTTGCACCAGAGTGCTTTAATCTGCAATAATGTTACAAACCTCAATTTGCCAGTATGTGACTGAATCCCTCCTGCAAAATAATGTATTCTGCTTCAGGTGATCTTACAGAATTTAGTTTGGGGTTTCCCTTCCCATACCTTGCAAAAGCTAAGATCCATGCCTAGCACTTTATGTCTTTACTGCTGCAAGAGTCAAAATCATGATTATGAATTTTACCTACATTTCACCAACAAGAATGTCTCACAGGAGACATACAAGTCTTCAGGTGCACATCCAAGATTTGCACTGTACAATTTCCACAGCCTATTTCTTGAAGATATATCTCCTATAACAAACAACCTTTGCAAACCAATCCCATGTTTTAATAAAAAAAAAACCTGACAAGGCAGAGCCAATGGAGAGCCTTAGAAGAAGCAGATCCAGCAGTTACTGGAGTAATGTCCAAGTGGGAAGCAAACAGAGATGGAGTGCGTATCTTAACAACACCACCACCACTAGAACTCTTAATAGGAGAAGAGTAAGATATGGATGCTTCAGTACCCTGGACAGATCATGACTTGTTCCAGTGGAGTCCCACCAGCAATTGAGTCCCCAGATCCATGTCAGATCAAACTCCTCCTAGGTTCTGCCTTCCTGCTGAGGAATGAAGAGCCTTAACAAGGGCAATTAATTATTGAGCCTCAAGACTAACACTCGTCACTCTCCCATAAATTCCTGCCCAGTGCATTGCCCTTCTCACTAAGCAGGCATTACCAGAATGTCCCCGGCATGAAAAAGGCTAGTTCCTCAGGAGAATCTGGCTATCTTCAAATATCTCAAGGGCTATCATATGGAAGATGGAGCAAGCTTGTTTTCTCCTCCTCTGGAGGGTAGGACTCAAACCAATGGCTTCGAGTTACAAGAAAGGAGATTCCAGCTGAACACCAGGAAAAACTTTCTGACAGTAAGAGCTGTTTGACAGTGGAACCGACAGTGGAACAGTGGTGGACTCTCCTTCATTGGAGATTTTTAAGCAGAGGTTGGATGGCCATCTATCTTGGATGCTTTAGCAAAGATTCCTGCATTTCAAGGGATTGGACTCAATGACACCTGGGGTCCCTTCCAACACGATTGTATGATTCCAATTCTGGCTGCTGCTGAAAGGTGGGGCTACTATGCTGGACACCTTGTGACTAGGTTGTGGCTGGTATGCTAAACAGATCAGATGGTGGGCTGGTGTTCTAGTGGCATCAGGTCCCTTCCATGCTAAACGAACACTCAACAGTTGAGAAATCCAAGTGTCCACTGCACACCCCTTCTCCCTCCTGACTACTAGCAATTGGAGGAAACCCCAGCCCTTACTGGACTTCAGCAGCAGCAGTGCAACAGATGATGGCATTTGTCATCTTCAATGGCAGAGGGAGAGAGATTTTATCTTGGATGACTGCCACTCATTACAAGGCACAGACACTGCAAAGGCACAGAGAAGCAAACAATTTATATACATATATTAACCACACACCACACTGGGTAGAGAGGGTCTGGTGGTTTTTTTTAAAAAAATAAAATTGTGCATTTCCCCAGATACAGTAGGCTTTCCTGCTCTCTCCATTTTATTCTGCTTTATCTATCAAAAATATATTAACCCAAAAGCCTGTTTCCATCAAAGTCTCGATTCCATGAACATTTAAAGATAAGGCTTATCTTATTACTGGTGCATTAACAACAGAAATCTAAAGGGCTACTGCCAATCATTTGCTTTCCACAGGTTTTTTCCTTCTCCTCAGAAATGGCTTTGCAGACAGCATGGCTTCTCCTCACAGAGAAGGCAGGCAGCATTACATGTGTGTACTGTGCTTTTCCACTAATTCATGACGATGCAACTAGATGTTATGGGTGTTACGGAGAGGCTCAGTTTAAGCTGCACATGCCCCTTGGCTTTCATCTGTGTGCAATGTGTGCAAGAACGGCCATTCCTCACTTTGCATGCAGAAGGTCCCACGTCCAATCCCTGGCATCTCCAGGTACGACAGAAAATCTTAATAATAGCATTTTTAGGGTTTTCAGAAAGAGGTGATCAGCGGCCAAGTAGATGAAAAAGCACACATATATAGGCACCCGAATCATTGTTAAGCCAAGAATTTACCATACACTATAGGAGTAGCACTCCAGGTTTTATAGACGAGGAAAGGAATAAAAGAAGAAATGCAGCATTTTGGAAAAATATACCACACAGATGTGAAAGCAGTAAAATTCTATATAAGTGTGTGTATGCCAGGTGTTTATTTTTCAATGGGATATTTATGTCCAGATAATGACAGAATGTTTGAACTGTATATGTCAGGCCTTTGCTGAATGCTTATGTTCATGTCACTCACTACCAGAAGATAAATAGATAGATGGGAGATGAGGAAGAATCATAGTCCTATACCACTTTTACTCTGTTTTTATTTGCTGCTGCCACAAGAGCTACTTTCACAAACTGACGAGAGGAGGATGAGTGGATTGGAGACCTGCAGCGGTGGGGAGAATTCAGCCTGGAAATAATAGGTGATGAATATAACGATTCAGGAGAAACTCCCAACAGGCCTTGGAAATGGGACAATGAAAATTCCATTGTGGAATAGTTCATGCTATTTTTCATAGCTTAAGAATGACAACCACACAAAGTAACAGAAGCAGCTTAGGCCAAAAAAGGACAGATGATCCACTTACCTGGCAGGCAATGTGCAATAAGCATGCCAGAGAATTTTGAACTAAAGGGATTGCTGGGCTGCCAAATCCTTTCTAATGTTCCCATCATTGGACTTTCACTGCATAGACACCTCTAAAGACACAAGCCAGGAGGTAACCAAGGCTCTGCACAGAACAAGGAGGGAAAGGCAGGGGGCCGGCAGAAAAAATAGGAAATTATTGCATTAGCCAAAAAGATCTTATAAGGCCAAGAAGACCCCTTCTATCCTTCCATGCCAATTTCCTAAACCATAGCCCTTTTCATAGGAGCAGGACCACATATGCCTGACCTCCACACATTCTTCTTTAGGTCTGGAGGAGCCCCAACACGTAAAATGGTATGCATAGAAGGTTCATGCCTCATGATCGTGATCCTTGTCTTTTCAGCTAAACTGATCTCCGAATAAAATCTCCCCAAGTTCACAGATTCCTATGCATTCTCGTATTAAAACATACAAATTTATCTTATCTTAAGGTGTACTTCATTGGGCTTGATGGGGTTTATTGTATAATGCTTAGTAGGTATGAAAGCCATCCAGGCTCAGACATGACCAGCAATGCTCATGAGTACATCATAACGCTATATCTTAGCCATGGGAATCAAATAAGAAGTTGAGTTTCTCCAGAGCTTTCTGAAGTGTCCCAGACATGCCTCTCTGGACTTCCCCATATAATATGGTAGTGGTGAGATTCCCACCAAAGCTTGCACCCACACAACAGGGCCACCCCACACCTGCCATGCTACATGAAAGGGGCTAACCACTTGGATTCATCCTGTTTGTGTGGCTTGCCTTCTTGGAGGCCACTGATAATGGCATCTGACCAAATTCAGATAGCAAGTCAGGTGATCTGCAGCTGTTGTGTGATATAGCAGTTGCATGGAGCCCAAACTACACAGAAGCAATTTTGATAGCAAGCACAGCATGGGTCTAATATACCAAGTATCCTTTAAGTTTTCATTGGCAGTTGTCATTTGCTTGAAAGCACCTCAACGTGAAGGGGAAGAGGGCAAAGCACATAGAGCAGAGCAAGGTGTAATACCGTACTAGACTCCTCTCTGATTAAGTTCCTCGTAGGCATCGCAGTATCAGGACTATACAACTTTATGTTCAAAATAGCTTCAAAAAGCTAAAGCGGTGGCATGCATTAAGAACAAATGTTAATGACAGGGGAAAATGAGGAACAGTAATAAGCTTCCGGATTTGTTACCATGATCAGAAAGGAAGAGGAGGATCTGGCTTAACTTCATTGGTACTGGAGGACTGAAAACCAAAAGCAGTGTCTATAACCAAATGATTTCACTGATGTTTACTTCCGCAAGTCAAGCACTTTCTTGTTCCATTTATTCCCTGGTTTTCTTCTCATGAGCTCAGGGCAACGAACATCCCAATGTAAGAGTGATTAGACTGGCCCAAGATCATGCAGTGAGTTTCACAGTTGTGGGAATTTGAACTCTGCTCTTTCTGCTTCAAGACCAAAGTTCTGTCCTAACTTACAGCTCCCAGTTTGACAGCATCTGCACTGCCGAATGCTGAACCAACAATTACAAATATCACTAACTTTCTACGGTTAAGAGGTGCAACCATTCAACAAAAATTAAAGCTCTAATGATCACTGCCCCAGACTCCACAGACCTGGTGCAGTAGCAGAAGCCAGCGCCAGGGCTCCTGTTAGCACAATGGGGGCTTTCCCCCTAATCCACACTGGAGGATCAGTGGAACCCCCCACACCTGTGCACAGGGGGAGAAGGAGGGGGTCTGTTCCATCTGGCAAGCAGAAATGCTTGCACTAACAGAACAATCAGAAGCACGTGGTGGTGAATTCCTCCCACTGATTGTCATTTTTATTTTTTTTATCTTTGCATTTTGTTGCCATTCATATACCTTACAATTTTCTCCTTTCTGTATCTGCCAGGTAAGATTTCACTACAGGCACCTGACAAAGTGGGCTCAAATCCACAAAAGCAGGGGCCATAATACATTTGTTAGTTTTTTTAAGGCGGCACAAGGCTCCTTGTTGTTTTTCCTGCAATAGTTTGTTAGCAGTCACCACTGAAGAAACCTGTTTTCCCTCAGTAACTGCAGACCCTTTCGCTAGGCCCTTGGCATGTATTTGCACACTCCTCTAGTACGAAGCAAGCCCACAGACCCTTTCGTCACCAGCGCAACAGGTGCAGGATACCAATCAGGAGCCCAAGTTTCAAGGCTTTTATTTTCCAGTGTCATCATTTGCCCCGTTGCGAAAGGGGGAGGGGATGGTTGGACAGAGAAGATAAAGGGACGTCAGTCTGCAGAACAAGCTGGCTCTGTTCACAAAGTGCCTCAGCAAACAGAGGCTGCAGAGCATTAATGGCGCACTCAGGTTTCCGCCGATGCCAGTTGGAGATAGAGTAGCCCAGTGGCAAACAAACCCCAGTCCCCAGAGGCTGCTCAGATTCTCCCCTCATTTGTTAGTTTATGTGTAAAATACAGTGAGGCTAATTCCTGCTTGCACAACTGGAAATATACATTTTCCAGCTCTTTTGGATGTATAATCTATCTACGGTATATAAATCTGAACAAGGGCAGTAAGCATAACTAATGGCCATTTTCCAGGGCCTAGGTAGAACGTTCTGCTGGGATTATTTGGGTATCACATGACCTTGAGGTGAGATTATATACAGAACATACAGTGATAGGTTGACTGGCATTTAAAATATTAACACAATGTGGAAGAGATGCTCAAGCCCAGGTGCCTATTCAACAAAAAAAATTAAGCTCTAATTCACATCCATCTGTCATGGGTGCTTTAGTTGAGATTCCTGCATTGCAGGAGGTTGGACTACATTACCCTCAGGGTCCCTTCCAACTCTACAATTTAATGATTCTATTATAGTTTTTGCATCCCATTGCCATTCAGTTGCCCACTTACAATCTTCTCCATCAAGATGTCGCTTTTGAGTCCACACAAGCTTGTGCTATAATAAATTTCTAAAGTCTTTAAGGTGCCAGTGACCTAGCGTCTACAGCCTAACATGGCTACCCCATGGGAATTTTTACACATTAAATAAGCTGGGGAATTTGACTCCTGTGCAAACAAATATGTCTTACATGTTGAACATTACTGAAAACGTAGGGGCTTGAGGCTGGGGAAGCAAAACAACTCCTCTCCCCCTACTCTATGGTGTGATTGGGGCGGGATGCAGATATTAAGAAATATTTTAGAGAAATGTTCCACCAAATACACTTATTATGATTCTTCAGGCACCTAAGAAAATTCAGGCAAGTGATCTGAGCAGAGTACGGTTTTACTAAAACAACTGGAGTTATTAACCTGATTAATCAACAAGTACTCATTGTGGGGCCTAGCACAGTCTTCCATGCCTGCTGGAGTTACTTCTTGTTTGTGGAGACAGAAACCAAGCAAAACTTGGGTGGGAGCGCCTCCAGATTCTGATATTCTAGGACTGCAGCTAGAAAAATCTGAAGCAGATTTCTAAATACTGCATTTTTCCTTACCATAAATAAATATCCTCATCATATACCAATATCTCGATTTCTTCTCTACAAGTAACTATTTTAAATTAATAACATAAATAATAGGGAATGCACAGATTTGACCTCAGCCTGCTGCGTCTAGAGTTTCCTTCTATTCTGGTTTCCCAAGACCATTGTTCCAGTTATTTTGTATGTTTAAATACCCAGCTTTTTTGAGGAACTTCCTTCACAAAGCAGCTTGCAAGCTCCAATAAGTACCAGCTCCACCTAGCAATAAAAAAGTGCACAATACAAGATACACTACCATTAAATAATAAGCCACGATTCACAGGAAATATCCAGGGAGCCCTCCATTAAAGCCAAGGTGAAGAGGAAGGTTTTGAGAGCCTTCGTAAAGGATCCTGGAGATGGAGCCAGCCTAATCTCTGCCGGAAGTTCCATAGTTTGCTGGGTACCACTGAAAAAGGCCCCATTTTGCATGCCCACAGGTCTGATCATTTTAAGTCCAGGCTAGGTTAAGGTTTAAATGGTAATAACCAGCACTTTAAACCCCAAAGACTCCCAGAGCAGCTAAACTATTGTTGTATGCACCCCAATCTCCGAGCGGTGAGAGGCTCCAGCAGTTCCAGTGCTGACGAAGTTTTTGGTTTACTTGGAACGAAGGTCAGTAGAGACTGCGGTGTCTTTAGGACAGAGTTTCCCAAACTTGGGTCTCCAGCTGTTGTTGGACTACAGTTCCCATCATCCCTGATCACTGGTCTTGTCAACTAGGGATGATGGGAGTTGTAGTCCAACAACAGTTGGAGACCCAAGTTTGGGAATCCCTGCTTTAGAATACAGTGGTACCTCAGGTTAAGAACTTAATTCGTTCCGGATGTCCATTCTTAACCTGAAACTGTTCTTAACCTGAGGTACTACTTTAGCTAATGGGGCCTCCTGCTGCTGCCGCCACACAATTTCTGTTCTCATCCTAAAGCAAAGTTCTTAACCCGAGGCACTATTTCCGGGTTAGCAGAGTCTGTAACCTGAAGTGTCTGTAACACGAGGTACTACTGTATATTATTTCCTTGTATTCCTTGTATTCCATATGTGCACAGTCTCCATGACTTTATACGAACATGCACAGTCGTAACTGTTTACACACAATTTCCATTCTATGTGTGTTAACCCTTGTTCTATTTTTTTATTATTATCCTGAAACAGAAAATAAAAGGACCCTACTGTTTCCAACCTGAAACCCGCAAGAGCTGATTAGGCACGTTTGCATTATTCAGAGTAACGCTGCTGATGATCTGGCAGAGGGAGTGAAAGACACCCGCAGGTAGAAGGGTGCACAGCTAATCCCTGCCATGTAGTAGCCCTGGAGAGACAGATGATCCTTCTGCATGCTGAACTGCCAGTAACAGCTCTGACATCTTAATACGCAGCATGTACTAATTAAAATTCCTAATTAAAGAAACAGAACTAGCCGGCAAAACTAATGCTGTAAATTAGCAGGCTTTATGTACCAACTGAAGAAGGTTTTGTTGCTTTTTCAAAGAGCATGCTGTGTTAGCATTTGAAGTAAATGATTCCGGACAAAGCTATTGTGCCTCCCACCCCTTGTAACCCATTTCAGTAACATGAGACAAATAGCACTCTCCGAACAAATCTCTTTTGTTAGGGTGCAAGGTAGCTCAGAAAGCCCCGTCTCTTAAGCTGCCTGTGGACAACTCTGCCAACCCATCAAATCAAACAGGAGTAGGAACCAGGATACCAGGCATCCTGCCCTCAGGATGTCCTTTCAAGGCAGTAACTTAGCATGACGTGTACATAATTTCATAGGGAGACAGTTATCTGTAAGACTGTGGCCCACTGAAGTCGTCTCCCTTTTGTGATTAGAATCGCATGAAGGAAAGAGCGGGGATGCATTTGCTGGGCTTTCACCTACATTAATGCCTCCATTGCCAGGCCCCACTGCTCTCCACGCACAAGGGAGGAGAAATCCAAAGCAGGAAGCCTCCTCTATATGTGTAGGCTCCTCAGGTGATTTAGAACCCTGTTTATGTAGGCTTCAAAATCACACAGAGAATCTAGATGCAAAGAGCAGGAGCCCCACTTCAGATGTTCTCTGACCAACATGTAGGGCCCGGCAGAAGGGCCGTGACAGGGTGAGAGGGGCCAGCAAGCACAGATCTGTTCTACCCCTTCAAACAATGAGGAGAAATGTCTGAGTATGGTTTTTGCCAGATGGTGAGAACTGTACTGTTCTCCCATTTGCTCAGACATTTTGATCAGATGTAAACGGTAAAAATAATAATCTGTCAACACTTTCTAGGAAGTACAAGGTTTCCTACACCTTTCATCAACTAACTATCAATTTGACATGTGCTTGCTGTGTGAATGTTAAACCTAAAATTGCACACCATTTTGTGTGTTTGTGTGTTAGACAATCTGAAGCTGTGTGTGAAATTCAAGCACTGAAAACACAGCACCCACAGTCCCCTCACTCTTGCCCTGCTTCTCATATGTTGCTCTCTAGTGGTTCACTCAAGACTTCATGGGAGGTGTAAGTGCCTTCATTTTGGGAGAGCTGGAGTGAGGAACCTACTCCTGCCTGAGGGCCACAGCCTCTTCTGGACAACCTTCTGAGGTTGTCACATACTGGTGGTAGGTCGGAGGCAAAAGTGAGTAGGGCAACAACTGTAAATTGCACCTTTGCGCAGTAGATTTTCTACACACAAGCACACATCCCTGTCTCTTCTCAATCCAGGCAAGCAAGAGACATTATGAGAGTTCATTAATACATCCCAGCCAAGCAACAACACTCAAGGAAGGTGCAAAGGAATGCCAGTGAGAGGTGTGGCTGGGGAGGGGGAGTGTCCCCAATGTCAAATAGAGAGGGTTGGAGGGCTGTATTTGGCCTCTGGGCCAAAGGTTCCCCAACCCTGGCATAGAGCTTCCAAAGTCTCTGAAATACATTAGGACTGATTCAATACAATCATTTTGACATGGCAGAGAAGCCAGCAACACTTGCTATTTACCAAATTCCATTATTGTGTTCAGGATTCAATACACCTTTTCAAAGTTTTCCTTCAGCCATGATCTCTAGCTGTGTTGGAGGCCTCACAAGACTGACCACCGCACACAACAATCTAAAAATCTGGGAAGCTTACCATAACACCACCATGTAAAAACAACGTGGCCCTTAGTTTGAGGGACAAAGTGGAACAACACACTTTAACTTCAAAATTCTCAAATATTAATGAACAACTACCTCAGGTTTCTGGAATTTACCTCAAGTTTCACTGCATACCCCTACAGGAATGTTCCAGGAGCAATAGGCAATGTGGTTAATAGAAAGAAGAGCTGCCATCACTTGCTTTATGATCTGAAATATTCATTCTTCTGTCTTGCATGCAAGGCATTTTATGCAAATAGCACAGAACTCACCTTCTAGAGACAAAATACAACAACTAAAGTTTCTAGTGCACTGAATTATTATTACCTAGGGAGTTTAATTATTTTCTCATTCTTTTAAAATAAACTCTTCACTGTTTTCTAATTGTATTGAGAGAGATAAAGAAGGAACCAAATAGAGGAATATTGACATGATGATGTGGACTCCATTTCCCTCAGAGATGGATAGGTGCATTACACAGTCTAATCCCCAGGACGTGGCTTCTGATCTAATGAGACAAATATTAACTGTGGTTTTACATTCACAGCCCCCACTTGTACAGCTCAAGCCCCCAAAATGGAGTTGATGTTAGGATATTTCCGTTCCACCTTAAAAGGGAGCAGGATGTTTGTGTCACAGCCTGCGTATTTCCTGTTCACAGGATGTTTCTGTTGTGTCTATGCTTTCGTTTCTCTCTCTGTGTCTGAGACACTGAAGCAAGCAGTCTGACCAACGCTGAATAAAGTTGTAAATATGCTCTCCTGAGCGCATCTTTCGCTGTGCATTATCTGCTGATAAGAGCGTGCACCAGCTCTGGAATGTGGCAAGCTATTTCTGGAAGCTCGTGTCGCTAATTGAATGATACTGCGTGTCTACGGGAGGTCGATGGATTGCAACGGAGACGACGTGGGGTCATGATGGACTCTGTCTCCCTGACAGTATCCCAACAGTTATTGCCAAAATAAAACATCCCATTACTCTAAACTGTGGGTGATATGGGAACTCCATGAAAATGTAATAATTGACAACAGGATAAATGGGCTTTAAAAAATAAAATGTTCAGAAAGCACGATAGCTTTGGTTGGTGGCAATAGCAAAGAGACACATCCTGATACTTGCAGATCCTTAAACTTCGGGTTACTGAAATATTGGAGTGGTTTTCTCTAGAGAAATGAAAGTTCATGGGGGAAGAGGACTACTCTGGCAATGAGCCTCTTGAAACTGATTTCACACTGGTGTGGCTCAAAAGTGCATTGGGCGTCATGGTTAAAATACCCTAAGGATGCATATAAACACATAAACCAATCAGGATTCTGCGTTTCCCCCTCTGTAGCTGAAGTCCACATCTCAGCACCTCTTGCCTGTGACCCAGGTCCAACCTTTGTGATGCGTTTGACATTCATACTGTCTTACACATGCTTCCAGATAGCTCTTCATCTTCTTTTTAAAGTACTGCATGTGCATTTATTCAATTCAATGTACACACAAACAAAAGCTTTGCTATGTTTTCTATTCTGCTTATTTACAAAACCATAGAAAAACTGTGTCAGGGAGAGGCCAGGTGAGTTGGTTTATACCCACTGTGTACAACCAGTATTCTTCGCATTCTTCCTTCCTTTTGATATATTTTATCATGTTGACCAAATTATAGAACATAAAACAAGACAGACATTTTTATAGCTCTTCTCAAAAGCACCAAACAAAAAGGTAGTTCATCACCCCTCCACTAACCATGGTTTAGTCAGTGCTACCTGTAAGAGCAGGAAGCAGCCTAAACCAAACATCAGGCATGTGCACTCTTCCTTCAGAGAGGCTGGCAGGATTTCACCAGAGTTTAGTCTTACCTTCCACAAATTCTAGTTTGCTGTGCCACATGAACAAGAAATCATGGTTTAAAGCAACAGCAGGTCAGTTTCACAGCAAGTTTAGTTATCAGTTATTGTATTAAGTTTCCCATGGAATTGCATATGTTTCCCATGGAAGGTGTAAAAATGACAGCTTCTATCTAGTTAGTTACTACAACAGAAAGAAAATAGGGGAAATAATGGGAAAAACTAGTAATTTAAGATCCCTCTTGCAGTGAAGAACAGAACGGGGCTAAATAGGGGGCATTTAATCACTAATCTTACAGCCATGCTAAGCAGGAAAGCAACAAAAACAAGCTGAAACTGAACACAGGATGCTTTCAATTAACACCAGAAAGGACTTTTGCTGAATGGAACTTATTTGTGAGTTAACAACAGAGAATAATATTGGCTATAAGGAAGGGCATTGCTGGATAATAGTGCTCTATTAAGTGTTTGTAGGGAACCTCTATATTAATTCCACTTCTAGACAATTATGGAAAAGGAAAACAAATGCCTCAGCAGCTGTAGAGGTCTCTGGTGTGGAAGCAACTTGGTAAAGGCTCTGGTGTTATAATTTTATACTTATGGAATTTGTCATAAATTCCTGCAGTTAGGACAACTTGGATTTCTTTTCAGTCTCAGTGTTAACTGATTTAACTGTGACAAAATAAAGAGCATTTCCATCTGTGTTATTAAGCTCTGGTTTCATTTATTGCAAATCACTTTTGAGTGTTGCAAACAGAAGAGCAACTCAAATGTAAATTTATAATAATCATTACTGTGATCATGTTCAAGCAGCAATTGAGCTCCATAGGCTCAAACCCTGAATTAAGGTGAAATAAATTCCAGCAGAGGGGAGAAGCTGTTGAAAAACTGTCCTCTCCTGAAAACAACTTCACGTATGGTTCCCCCACACAAACCCAACTCTCCCACTCAAACCAGGATGCACCAAGTCCTGTGTATTAGCATGAATCTTGCGTTTTGTGCCTTTTCTCAATCTCTCTTTCAACCCTTTTACTTTTGCAGTAATTATGAAGCATTGTC